GGCATGTATGAGGGCCTGGTGCGACGCTTCGGTGGCATTGCTACTCCCCAAGGCTCCCATCCCGCCTAACCCTGGAGCGGTTGACCACGAGATCTAACCCTTTGACTTTCCCAGGACGGGCTTTGACCAGTGGACCTCTCCACCCGGTTGTCGTAGATCAGCCCATAGGAACACTTGGGAGCAATGTCCGGGCCAAACCCATAGCAAGATCCCCACTGTGTAGACTCGACGAGGTCGTTTATCCCCTCCAGGTGCCGGCGGCGGCGCCGTTCGTGAAGGGGATCACACTCCGGAGACACGTGTCAGGCGTTTGCAACCGCCACGACACTTCCGTCGGCATAGCTGTTTTTTATTTTAATAAAGTATGAGGACCTATATTCAAAAGAACATGAGGTCACATTATTAACATACTCAAAAAAATACAAACTACATATTCATAATCTATGGAAAATTCTTCACCAAATTGATAAATAATTTATGTATGTTTATATTTACATATGCTACATTTAAGTTAATCAAGTAATAATACATAAAAAATTAAAATATATATACAAAAACTAAAAAATATATATACATATGTATGCCTACGGCAAAGCCATCGGCATACCTGCGCCCTGGATAGCTGAGATCCGTGCCTCGGATCGATGACATGGCAGGTGCGGCGGATCGATGACGTGGATGCAAGATATGCCGGCGGCTGCCATCCCTGTCGTCGGTATAGAACTGACGCCGTGAACCGTCCGTTGCACGCCGGATTGCCGGGCCCACATCTATGCCAATGGCCCAGGTATGCTGACGGCTGTTGTAGGCGTACACTAAGCTATGCCGACCACGCCCGTCGGCATACCTGGATATAGGCCGACAGCCTAGCCTTGGCTGTCGGCATAGCTCAGACTAGGTCGACGAGGGCGGTCAGCATTGTTTAGGCTGTCGGGGTAGAGCCCTGTTCCGGTAGTGCGTTTACGTTGACCCGGATTCTACCGTCATGATCTGTAGTGGTAGTCTGTTAAATCCTACCGCCGGATCGGGTGGCGGTAGGAAAAGGGTCAAATCCAAATTTTTTCTTACTTAGGATCAGATCGTACTAAACTATGTCAAAAGGGTCAAAACAGTGCATTTTGCCTGTACAAGCCGATCTATGAGCCGACCAACAAAGCCTACTGCTACCAATACTTTGTTAGAAAATAATTGCGCGGCAAAGCGCGTGAATGCCTCTAGTAAAGCATCATGTTCTGTGGGAAGAAATGCATATATACGTATAAGGCAGCAAGCAACACATATATAGCTGATCGATGTCCTTTCCCTTTCGTCTTCGCAGAATGATTCTATGCCTCCCTCTATTGCTACTCAAAGTGGCTTAGGCAGCGAGCTAGCACTCGCATGGACGGCAGCTACGCGAGCATAGCTATAAATACGACTCTGTCGGCCTGCCGCGTGCATTTGCATCGCACGATCAAGCTGTTACCTAGGGAGAGACAGGAAATTAGTCAACATGGCAGAGGCCGTGTTGGGGCCGCTTGTAGGGAGGCTGCAGGAGCTGGCGATCAGCGAGGCGCGGGCGATGGTGGCGGTGAACGACGACGTCCGGAGCCTCCGCGACAAGCTCATGTGGATGCAAGCATTCATCCGCGACGCTGAGCCGAGGCGGCGCACCAAGAACGACGAACTCATCAGGGTCTGCCTGCAGCAGACCCGCGACGCCGTCTTCGACGCCGAGGACGCCGTCGACCAGTATTTCTTTCGGGTCGACCTCTCCAGGTATATGTCAGCCACTACTTTGTACTTTCCCTTATTCTACCTCTTGTCTCCTTAGTCTCAACCGGGACATAATCTATATCTATATCTATACCTTATACTATATATACTAATAAAAAAATAGGTATTCTTAGTCCATCATGCTATTTTATAGAAGACCCCCTGATATTTCTGACATTAAACCCGCAGTACATATCAAATGTTTTTTAAAATACTCATATCTTCTAAACTTTAACTCCAAATTAAACATATTATATATGGAATTTGATTAGAAAAATATATAGAATCTAAATATGATGTTATTTTACATGTTAACATTTAAAAAGAACTATCAAAGGTGCAATCTTAATAAACAATGCATTATGTGTCTTTTCTTTCATATGGTACTGATCCGAATTGTGGATGAACATCTCAGCAAAATCAGAATTGAAGACGAAATTGAAGATAACTTACTTGTTTCTTCGTACGTATTAAATCTACATGCAAGCCGTGTTTAAATAGAAGACGTGTGGAATCTTGAACCTGCGCTTTTGTAGGTAAAGATCATCTTTGTTTGGGCCGTAGCTACAAATACTCTGATTATAGACCTTTTTTGTAAATTAAGAGCGTGTGATATTCTTTTCTTCCGTTGCAACGCACGGGCCCTTTTGTGGAATTTGATTAGAAAAATATATAGAATCTAAATATGATGTTATTTTACATGTTAACCATTTAAAAAGAACTATCAAAGATGCAATCTCAATAAACAATGCATTATGCGTCTTTTCGTTCATATGGTACTGATCTGGATTGTGGATGAACATCTCAGCAAAATCGGAATTGGAGACGAAATTGAAGATAACTTACCTGTTTCTTCGTACATATTAAATCTACATGCAAGCCGTGTTTAAATAGAAGACGTGTGGAATCTTGAACCTGCGCTTTTGTAGGTAAAGACCATCTTTGTTTGGGCCGTAGCTACAAATACGCTGATTATAGACTATTTTTTGTAAATTAAGAGCGTGTGATATTCTTTTCTTCCGTTGCAACGCACGGGCCCTTTTGCTAGTCTTATATACAATTAATAAACTAGCAGAATGGCGCGCGAATGCCCGGGCATCCTTCTTTTTATTGTGTTTACTCAAAATACTATATATAATTATGCATATCAATTATCATCCTTGATGAATCAGTTTTTCTAACTTCTTTCCCCCATAATGCGCAAACAGAATAATACACCCTCGGCCTATGATGTATAGGTCATGCTTCGAAAGCCATCCGAAATTTGGCCAGTAACGAATCATACTTAAATTATAATTTTAAACTTTTGAACAACAATTAATCTTGTAATATATGGGTTAATGTAACATAAAATTGATATCATTGGCTTGGTATCGAAATTTACTCTTTGAAGATTTGTGACCTCTAATTTTTTTGAAACCTTGTGACTTCTAGTTATTGACAAACTAAAATATATAGAAGAAATTTACATTCAAAGCTTAAACTTGAATAATCAAAATGCACTATCCATTAACTTTGTAGCGTCATATATATGTTTCATATCAACACAATTTTTTTCTTGCGAATTGGAAATGAAATACATATATATCATATTGTGAATTCAAGTCAACACTAAATACAAACTGTAATGAGTTCGGTAATTTTACCAGAATTGCACAGTTAATTGAACTGTTAGCACAACTCATGTAAATCACCATGTAATAT